TTGGAGCATGGGAGGAGCGTTCGATCACCTGTTTTGAATTTTGAACCTGGTGCTACACAAGTGCTTCTTGTGGACCTTTTTCCTAACACCATGCATTCATCTGAACGTTCGCATTTCTATAGACATTTTATGGAATTCTCAATGAAATAATAATAGTACAATAATAAAATTAAAAAGTCATTTAATGATAAATATTGATTATGTAGGCGTTTTTATGTCTTTATTTTTCACCTGCTGCGTAAACTTCGTAATTTATCCACTTAATGCATATTCGTACGGCTTCAGTAGAGACTGACAATATTATTTGGCAGCCATGGTGATAATTAATAAAGCGATGATTATTATTTTACGAAGTGCGTTTGTCTCTGCAGGGTAGCAAAACATACATTCGGCTCCATACAGAAGTACACGTCTTACTAACGTTATGTGCACCTTTCCCTTTAGTTTGATGGGCATCTTCTGTCCATACGAGCCAAGGCCGATTTTTCGACCGATTCCTTAATTCAGTGCCGATTTCCCTGCTGTGTTGAATTCTTTGATCAATCGGAATTAGAGGTTTTGAGAGAGAATTTTTTAGACTCGATCCTGATACTTTGAAATTGGAAACAAACTCGCTCCTAAATTGCACGGAAGCGTACTAATCGATGAAAGGAATTAACGGTCAGCAAGAAAAAATTATGTTCGAAAAAAACAGCTAAGCTGAAATGCTTGGCGTCGCTGCCTGGCTTGTGATGCGTATCACAATATTCATAAACACCGGAAAAGTCTGGGCTGGGTCCCTGGTGACACTAGCGAGACGACGACGACGAGGACGACGAATCGGTGAAGATCGATCGATACAGCTTTAGTGGCGATGGTGATCGACGGTATACGACAACAAGAAAAGCTTAGACGCGATCGGCGCCTTCTAACCGTACTCAAGTTTCGCACTGAGTAAACACTGTTGCACCGAAAGAACAGAGCCGGCCTTTCTGTATCGTTTTCGCCAGATCGTGTTGGACGGCGGCGGAAATCGTGGCAGCCAGGTAATCAGAGTCTGAGGTAATGCAACCTGC